AAATACCCAACATTTGGAATTTTGTTATGCCAGAGTTCATAAGGAGTTTTATTTAATGAAGGTCTAATTAAAACTCTATTTAAAATATAACAAGCGGTATTAACGGCTTCCGCCCAAAAATATTTAGGTAAATCATACTCATTTAACATTGATCTAGCAAATTCTTGTAAAGTACGATTTTTCCTTTCAACCACACCGTTTTGTTGAGGAGTCCTTGGAGAGGAGAAGTCATGAGAAAAACCATTATCTTCACAAAATTTTTCAAAGGCAACACTGTTAAATTCTCCCCCATGGTCACTCCTAATTTTAGTAATTAAAAACCCTTTTTCATTTTGAACTCTTTTTACAAAACTAGCAAATCTTTTCAAAACATCATTCTTATGTTTTATCATCAAAACCCAAGTAAATCTTGAAAAATCATCCACTATCACAAAAGCATAATAATTTCCTCCATAACTAGCTATTTTAGAAGGGCCAAATAAGTCTATATGGAGTAGTTGAAGAGGTCTAGTAGTAGAAATCATATTTTTAGATTTGAAAGAAGACTTAGTTTGCTTACCCATTTGACAAGCGTCACAAATTTTATCTTTTTCAAATTTAAGTTGAGGGAGACCTCTCACTAATGAATTTTTTGAAATATTTGAAATCAAGTACATACTAGCATGTCCTAGTCTTCTATGCCATAGCCAAGAGTTATCAATCAAAACCGAAAGACATTTATCATTTGTAGGACAATCATTCAAATCAATAGTATACACATTATCGTCTCTATTTCCTACAAACAAAACTTTTCTATCACTAGCATTTTCAATTATGCAATTATTCTTATCAAATACAACTCTAAAACCTTTATCACATAATTGACTAATGCTAAGTAAGTCATGCTTTAAACCATCAACTAACAATACATTTTTAATGAGAGTACAAGAGTCATTACCTATAGTACCCTTACCAATTATTTTACCCTTCTTGTTATCACCAAAGGTTACTAAGCCACCATCCTTCTTGGAAAGATTGACAAACTTGGATGGATTACCCGTCATGTGTCTTGAGCAACCACTATCCAAGTACCACTTATTTTTCTTGGAGGCTTTCAAACAAACCTAAAAACAAAGATATTCAAAATTGACCTTTTGGTACCCATACTTGTTTGGGTCCTAGAAAGTTAGTATTCACAAATTTAGGAATCCATTTCATATTTGCATTCATATTAAAGACATTGTATTTAGATAAGTAACAAGAATAATCTTTATGTCCAAACTTACCACACGAGAAACAAACGACATTATGCAAGAATTTATTTCTTGGACTAAATTTGTGTATTCTATTTTTATTCGAAAAATTATTTTCTAAAACATTGTTAAACTTTGTATTTTGAGAAACTTTTCTTCCTAAATGAATATTTTGAGAATTTTTCAATTTAAAGCACTTAGGTCTAATATGACCTTCAACACCACAATAATGACATATAGGCACAAATCTAGATTTATCATACTTAGATACAAATTTACATGTGTTAGATTTAGGCAAGATAGGGGATGCTTTAACAAAGATTGTTTTAGAACTTGAAGGTGTAGAACATTCATCAATATAGCCTAATCCTCTTTTATCACCATATGACTTACCTCCTTCAAGTATTTTATCTAATTTTTGAGCACCTATTGTTAACATTTTAATAGATTCCTTAGCCCTACCAAGTTCTTGCAAATTATTTGATTCATTCTCTTTGAGCAATTTAATTAATTTATCTTTTTCACCACAATCATGCTCAAGAGTCTTGACTTTATCAATTAATGCATTTTTCTCATCACAATCAAATACATGCTTTTCACAAGGTACATCAATTTTAACAATATTATGATCCTTCTCCTTCAAGCAAGAAATTTCATTTAGCAAAGACTTATTTTCAATAATTGAAGTCTTATATTTCTTTTTAAGCACAACATACTTTGAACTAAGTTTTTCTAAATCAATTGTCATCTCATCAACAAGTTTAAATAATTCATGATAAGAAAGAGATTCAAGAGTTACCTCATCTTCTTGTTCATCTTCTTGTTCATCCTCTTTGTCACTATGAGCCATGAAGCAAAAATTTGCAACTTCTTCATCACTTCCACTTGCACTTTCATCACTATCATCCCAAGTAGCCTTCATTGCTTTCTTCTTGGATTTCTTAGATGATTTGAGGAGAGGACAATCCGTTCTTATATGACCCGGCTTTTTACATTCATAACATATTACCTCATCGTTTTTGCTCTTTTCACCTTTTGACTCTTTTTGATTTGTGAAATGTTTTTTTAATTGTTTCTTCCTTTTAATAAAATTTTTATACTTACGTGTGAAGTAGGCGACATCATCTTCATCAAGGACGTCCTCATCTTCAGAGTCAACTTTGATGGATTTTAGGGCTATACTTTTCTTCTTTTTGGATTCTTCTTCCATGTGCCCGTTCATGGTAATCTCATGTGTCATGAGAGAACCAATGAGTTCATCCAAAGGAAGCTTTGTGAGATCCTTTGCTTCTTGAATCGCCGTCACTTTTGCCTCCCAACTTTTAGGCAGAGACCTAAGAATTTTTCTTACATTTTCGGAGGTAGAATATACTTTTCCAAGATTTTTCAAAGCATTTAAAATATTAGTAAATCTAGTAAACATATCACCAATAGGTTCATTTTCCTCCATTTTAAATAGTTCATAATTATGAACTAACATGCTAATTTTTGTTTCTTTAACTTGATTGGTTCCCTCATGAGTTACTTCAAGAGTTTTCCAAATTTCATATGCCGAAGAACACATACATACTCTATTAAATTCATCATTACTTAAGGCACAATACAGACAATTGATAGCACTAGCATTCAAAGAACATTTTTTCATATCATGCTCATCAAATTCATTTTCTAATTTAGGCACCTCAATATTATTAACAATTTTTATTGGAATGTAAGGACCATTACTAACATTTAACCACAATTGATAATCAACGGATTGCAAATAAATTTTCATCCTAGCTTTCCAACATGTATAATTTGTTCCATCAAAATAAGGTGGCCTAGAAGTTGATTGTCCTTCACTAAAACCATTTTTAACACGTAGGTTTGCCATAAGCTCGAACAATAAAGTTTAGATAAAAAATCTATAGGAGCAACCTGCTCTGATACCAATTGTTGGATCGGTATGGCAACCCTAGAGGGGGGGTGAATAGGGTTTTAACGATAAAAGTGTTTAAACTTGATTAATTTTTCTAATGATAAAACTTTTTACAAATAAGTAGAAGATGATAATTACTAAAACAAAATAATTCAAGTCAAAACAATAATCAAGTAGAACATGCAATAAACATAATAATAATCTTGAAATTAAATAGGAAAGAGTTAGAGAAAATGACACCGTAGTTTTATAGTGGTTCGGTCAAACTCGACCTACTCCACTCCCCAAGCGCCTCTTGGGAATTTGAATAAAGAACTTTTCCGACTCTTTCCACGGATCAGAGCCAAACCGGTACACCGCTCTTTTTACGAGTTCAAGAGCAAACTCAATCCTTTCAACGACGCAGGATCAAACCGATACAAGTATTTGAGTTTGATAATAACACACCACAACTCTCTCAAAGAGTAGATTTACAATTTGGGATACTGACAACTATTTCCTCACAATATAATAATAATCCCTCTCAAGAATAAGATGAAAAGAAATAAACTTGTAAGCTTGGAGAGAGCAATAAACAATGGAGACTTTGAACAAATGAGGATTGAAGAATGTATGTAAGTTGTGTCTTTTAAAAATGTGGGGAAGATGAGTTTATATAGAGGAGAAAAGTGGCAAAATGTAGGATTGAATATTGACCATTGGATTGTGTTAGGAATAATGGAAGGTGGAGATTAAAAGTAATTAAGTAAGAAAATTTTCTAAATTCATTTATTTCAAAATTTTAATATAATAGTAATATAATATAATAATAATAAAAAGTTATGTGAGTAACGGTAAAATGTAATTCAAAATTTATTATAAATATAATAATATAATAATAATAAAAATGATGTGAGTAACTACCAAAATTTTAAAATATAATAATATAATAATATAATATAGTAATAATAAAATTCGATGTGAGTAACGGTTATATTCAAATTTATATTTGTAAAAATAATTTTATTTAGAAATGTAATAATAAGAAAAACTCCACCATGTGTTACTCTTCCAATATTATAAATGTCATACTTTGATATATTTTGATTTGTCCATCATTTTGATTTTGTTGCCACATCATCACGTCGGGTATGTTGTCTCGACTCTAATTTCTTCGTTTTAGCTCTGATTTGAGTAATTGAAAAGTTGTTGTAATCGTTATTCCCGACCTTATACTGTGGACAGTTCAAAAAACTGAAAATAGTTAATAATTAAAAGTAGGTTTGTTATCATCAAAACATCAATAATTAATTCATTGAAATTAATTAATGTGAGATCAAGGGCCAATAAGCCAACAGATTATACCGAAAATAAATTAAATAAATAAGATTAGGACTCTTTTGCAATTTTGGATAAGATCATTTTAAGATTTGTTTTTAATAATTGTTTGGGCTATTTGGTTGGGCCCGTTTAAATGCTTTTATGGGCCGAAATTAAACTCATCCAAACCGAAATTCTCAGATATTTAATTTCATTTCGATTTTCGAACTGGTTTGGCGCGCCATAGCGGGCAGCCCGTGTGAACTCGTTGCGATCAGCTGGGCGGAAAGAGGGGTAATCAAGAAACCCTAACCTTGAAGTAAAGTCGATTTTATCAAATTTTTAAGCTTTTTATTCTTTGCTAATTGATTTCGATTAAGATCGTAGATTCTGTTAATGTCTTACAATTGATGGAAGATGAGTTTTGTCAATCGATATCCTCTTTGTTGTTATAAGCGTATCTTGTTCACATGGACCAATGCTTGTACAGCACAATTGCTCATCTGCTTGTGCCATGAATCTCAAAACATTTATGCTGATGGCTTGAGTTTCCTATCGCTTAAATTACGAAGTTGTGTGGATGTAAGAGATCAAACAGCCTGTCAAAAGCATTCAAGCTTTGACAATGACAATGTTGCAGAGTATATCAGCAACTAGGACAGAAATAAATGAAAGGATAGGCAAAGAAAATATCCAATACCCAAAATGTGCCTTTATGTACCAGAATATTCATCTATCTGTTACTCGCTTGTAAATCTCAATTTAAGTAACATTTAATGACTAACCTATCTCATATCTATGAATTCTTATTATCTGCGCTGGTTAACTTCTTACTAAGTTCAGCTATTTACATCAGCAGCCTTAAATGTTGATTTACTCATCTAATGCTGGCGTTGATTTGTTTGGTTAGTTGTGTGGATGGAGAAGAGGAGGGAAGTAGCTGAACTCGAGGCAGCGACTTCAAATTCTAAAATTCTAAGCTGTTATACAACTCAGTATGCAAGGTCAGGGAAACCAGAGGTTGAGGATCTTACACCTTTATTTTCTTGTTTCTTTATTGTGCCTTTGATCTGTCTCTTTTATTTCTATAAGAAATTGCATGTGTGGACTTGTATACTTTTTTATAAATGTTATGGTATACATTTATTAGGGTATTTACTCTATGTTGGACCATATTCAAAGCTAAAGTTGGCAGTGATGAAATGGTAGTAAATTAGGTGACCCCACGGTCTTGTCCACAATATGAATGCCGGATCTGTGAAGCTCTGCTTCTCACACCTCATAAACAAAGCATTTAAGCTAATCAAAAAGGACTTTTTTTTTTCCCATTCTCTAATGGACCCCCACCCTCTTCTGTTGCCCCTAATCGTTTTTGATCCATCTTCACAAGCTCGGAGTCCATAATCCATAAATTACTTCCTGATTCAGAAGGCTATGAAAGTAACCTTTACCACACTATTGTAAGAAACTTATAGAAAGAAGCATCCCAGGTCTCATTTTTTCATTGAAGTGCTTGCCGGATCTGGATTGCTAATGACGTTAGGTGGAACTATAGGGATACTTGGGTGATGTATTTCCCGAATCCCCTAAAGAACTAGAGCCCCTTTTTACCATTTTCTTAATGTGGAGAATATAGAATGGATGATTCAAGCTAAGTTCTGAAAGTAGAGCATAGTTGAGGCCACTATTAGATGAATAAGGATCCGTAAGTTGTATTGAATGTGTACTTATTTAGCTGCCAAACGTGGGGTTTGGACTCATTAGCAAGGTCAAGTTTTGAGGTGCATGCTTCTTCCATCACTCACTCATTTATTTTTGCAGTTGCAATTTGAGAACAAGTAGGACACAAACAAGCTATGGCAGTGAAAGGATTATAAAGTTGGACATAAAATGACCATTGTACCCTCCTTTTCTTTTACTCATATTCATTTAATACTTGCAAGGGAAACAGAGTAAAACTCTGACTTTCTTGTCGCCTTAACATATTGCCTTGTCTTGAGTTAATTAGTTGCAGCAACGTTAGGACACGATAAGGGTTATTATCTTTGAAGTGATTAATGTGAAGCAAAATTCTTGTTGAAGGATTATTTTATTAGTACTCTTGAAATTTCATTTTCTTTCTTGAAACGCTTCCAGTGCTTTATGCAGTCAATTCTGTCTGCTGCGTTTTAAGTATATTATTAAATTCACATGTCAATCATTAATGATTTGTATGTAATATGGAGATTATAATGGACAATGCAGTGTTTTGAAGGCTAAGAACTCTTCCATGAATGTCCAATTGTTAATGGAAGCTTGGAAAGGATGTCTCATGTCAATGGGTATCTGCAGTCGATACATTATCTAGTCACAATGGTCGGTATCTGTTATTTCAAACAATCATTAATAGCATCTCATCAAGTTAGCTTCAAATCTTTGCTTACTTACATGTTTCCAGCAAACAGGTATATCCCCCATGTCAAAGCCGAGTTGAAGCAAAGAGTGTTCTTCGAAGTTGAGAGCACATTTGGAAATAGGTCAGTTCATTGAAATTATTGCGTAATAATTGTTGTCAATAAACAGATTAGCCTTGTAGAATTGTGAATGAACTACTTTCCAAAAGGCGTCGTTAGCTGCATCACAAGTGTTGTAGAGGTTGACTTTCATGTGTTAAAGAAGCTGCTTGAATTTTAGTTTCATGTAACTTTTACGTACAACTATAGTATAAAAATTGTTGAATACGGACTATTAGTATGATTATAATTTTTAATTATATAAAATGTTATAAAAATCAAGGATTTATCTGATTTTTTTTTCAAAAAAACTATATTTATAGAAATCCTTCTCTTATGAAAACTACTCTCTTATGAAATCCCAATCAATTTTATTGTTTAATGAGCTTGCTAGCTAGTAGGGCGGGAAAATGAAGTCCACATTAATTGAGTCTTACTCAATAATTATTAAAAGAGCATATTATTGAATAGGATTCAATTATTATTGAAAATTATTAAATTTGGAGTCTTGGGTGTTCGCAAGTATTTTTTTTAATAAATCTATTAACAATTTCTCTTAAAAAAAATAATAAATTATTGTTGATATAATATGGAATGAATTTATTTGCCTTGAACCTACTACGTTGTTCAATATAATTAGAAGTAACCCTAGGTTACGTATACAAAATTGAGATATTATTAAAAGAAGTTATGATGAGGGTAAAGGAATTACAGGAAGATATAAACCTTAAAAATGTGATATACAAAATAGGAACAGAATTATAGATTTAGCCAGCTTTTTATGTTAATGAATACATGTTGAGAGATTGATTAGGAAATAGAGAATGCATGGATGGCTCTTAATAACCACAAAAATAAAGAATTAAATTTTCTTTCTTATCTTTGTGTGCATTTAATTCTCTCCCCATTTATGCCACTGGCCATCTCTTCATTAACAAACCACACTCCTCTTTTCTCACTCTTTTATCTCTCTTCTTCAAACCCCTTCAATCTTAAAGCTCTCATCTCCATTTTTCTCCACTCAAAATAATCTCTTTGCCCACTGCCTTCACACAGACTGCTGCAAATGGGAAGGTCGCCTTGCTGTGACAAAGTGGGGTTGAAGAAAGGGCCATGGACACCTGAAGAAGACCAAAAACTTTTGGATTATATTAAAGAACATGGCCATGGAAGCTGGCGTGCCTTGCCTTCTAAAGCTGGTCTAAATTTTGTTGTTTTTGTTTGGTTTTTCCTCGCGGTTTCTTAACTTTTCTTGTGTAATGTGCTAATGATTTTGAAGAGTTTGGAATTTTGTGTTGGTGAATGTGATTGTAGGGCTCCAGAGATGTGGCAAGAGCTGTAGACTGCGATGGATTAATTATCTTCGACCTGACATTAAGAGAGGCAAGTTCAGTTTGCAAGAAGAACAGACCGTTATTCAACTCCATGCTCTTTTAGGGAACAGGTACTGTTTCTTTCGAGTTTCTCTCCTTGGGCTTTGTAGTTCTCTTTTTGAACTGGAATAGACAAAACCTTTTTAGATTTTCCAGTTCTGTTCAACCGTAAAGCTTGAATCTTTTTGGATGAGGTGCACAGATTTTCATGGTGTGATTAACATTAGGAGTCTTCTGACACGTGAAATTTTCTCAACACAACACGACCAGCAAATTTCTGCACGAACACGAAATGGGGTCCGAAGATTTGTCTTCAAAACCCTCATTTCAGTAGTCAGACAGACAAAACAAAAAAGCTCTTGTCAAAGTGTTGGCAAGTTCTATGATGTTATTATTATCTAGTTTGTTTGTTTCTTGAAACTCTCGTTGTTGTTCCTTGTTTGTCTGGTTTTTAGGTGGTCGGCCATTGCCACTCACTTGCCTAAGAGAACTGATAATGAGATAAAAAATTATTGGAATACACATCTTAAGAAAAGATTGGCTAAAATGGGAATTGACCCAGTAACCCACAAGCCCAAGAATGACGCTTTGCTCACCGGTGATGGCCAGTCAAAAAGTGTGGCTAATTTGAGCCACATAGCTCAGTGGGAAAGTGCTCGGCTTGAAGCTGAGGCAAGGCTTGTGAGAGAATCAAGGCTACGTAGTAATGCACATTCTTCACTACAACAACTTGCAAATCCTCCTTGTTTTGCAGCTTCTTCATCTTCTACTTCCACCTCAGCTCCGCTTTTGAGAAAATCGGAGCAACCTGCAATGGCTTCCCGATCGCTTGATGCGTTAAAGGCTTGGAACAATGGTGCGTGTTTAATGAATCCAAAAGCTTAAGTTGATGGATTATGATATACTTAACCTTTTCTAAATATGGTCGCAGGGTGGTCTAGATCCACTGAAGGAAACGGTGGCATCCTGGGCCGTGGAACTGGTGGCGACCTTGAATCTCCTACCTCGACGTTGACTTTCTCAGAGAACGTACCGCCAATTATGGTGAGAGGCGGGGGCGGGGAGAATTCAGTAGCCATGATTGAGTTTGTGGGAAGCTCAAGCTCCTGTGATCAGGGTGGAATAATGAGGGAAAGAGAGTGGAAGGAAGAGGGAATTGGAAATCCAAGCCAATTACCAGAATACAAAGAGGGTTTTGAGAATTCAATGTCGTTTACATCTCATGAAATGACATTGTCGATTGAAGCAACATGGACAGCTGAATCATTGAGAACAAGTGATAATGGCATTGCTGAAGAAGGCTTCACTAATCTTCTTCTAAACAACACAGATGAAAGAAGACAATCTGATGGAGGTGGAGATGAGTCTGAAAATGGAAGTGGGAGTGGAACAGATTATTATGAAGATAACAAGAATTACTGGAATAGCATTCTTAATTTGGTCAATTCTTCTCCCTCTGATTCTTCAATGTTCTAAAATAAGGGTTCGAATTTATGTGTGAGGCTCAACATCCAATTTAGCAGCGAGTTTCAATAGGGAAAAATGGTGGAATTGAAGGGACCAAACTCTTTGCAGATTCTAGTTGCTTCCAAAAGTGTCAAACTCGTAAACCTGTAATAAATTGATTGAAAATGCTGCAGAGTTTCTCCAACTATGTTGGTTCTTCAACCGCCATACTTAAATTTGCTTCTGTACAATTGGGCTAAAGCTTGTTATAAAATCATCACAAATTACCTTTTGTTTTTGTTCTAAATTTATTGCATCATCATCATCATCGGTACAAATTACATTTATTTCCACCTTATAATGAGACCTCACATGGCTCCTCTGCAACCAGCTGCACATAATAAATTCAGCAAATACAAGCATGGAAGCCTGTGGAAATAAATATTCAGAACTTGTATTATCTTTGATGTTGAGGAACCTCGTTTGTTTATCTTCCAAACAAAAAATCAATCCCCTTAATTGGGTTTCATTTGATGTATATGGAATAACATATGCTCAAAACTTAGAGATTCTGAGGAACAATAATGTGGTTTGTTCTTCTTATTCTAGAGCCGACGTGATCTTTCCTGAACCAAAATAATGGTTTGAAGTCAGTCAGAATAGAGCTTATTTACATAGAGGGCCACAAAATCAGACAATGAGCTCTAAAGGTTCCCGAGTAAGAAGGGAAAGCACTTGCCTTTCATACAAGGATATATGCCATCGCATGTAAAGTTTATGCGAGAAGGAATTACAGCCACATGTTCATCTCTTCCCAAACCATGCCTTAATGCTGGAAACTTGTAACATCTGACCTTACCAGACAGCAACTTAATGGCAGCTCATCCTTTTCAACATGTCTCTTTCAGAGTGTTAAATCCAAGCCATATATTAATTTGTACACCATGGCTAAAAAATGGGAAAAAATAAAGAAATGTTAAGCCATAGGTGAAAATAGAGGAAACAATGGAAGAGAAGGGTTGAAATATAGATGAGCAATTACCATCCATATACTAATCATGGAGACATTTTTAGCTTTTTTTTATAAGATAAAGAGTATTACTACGACTAGTAAAGGTTAAAAGAGGTTCCATACAATAAGGTATTAATTATTTTTTTTCATATACAAACAATAAAGGTATTTTTTAATTTTTTTTTGAAGTTTCAAAAAGTATTTCTTAAACAACAAATGATTTACATTGATGACAATGCAACTGGTCAGTAGTCAGACGGATCTCTCAGTGTAAGCTTTTGAAGTTTTGAAACTGAAATACAAGGTGCTCAAATCACCTCCAATCAACTATTCTGCCCCCTAAACGAGGGGAACTTATTAAAGGTAGGCGACATCCTGTCCCCAAGATGGCATTAATATCATTTAGAAAGTATGTCATTCCAGGCACCAGAAATATGTTATTGATTCAGCTGCAAAGCGGATGCCATATTTGTTGCCTGCACGGTTATACTAGACTCAGGATATTCAATAACATAGAGCCACGGGCACTCATGCAAAGTTGTTGACAGACTAAAGTCAAAACAAATATTACCAAAATAGACAGAACATGTTAAATCGCCACCGATTTCTTCAAGGACTGAATTTATATATAACCGGAAGATGGCAAATTTTTGGTAATCAATCTCTATATGATATTTGTTGTAGACAGTAATAAAAGAATTTGGGTACAAATTCCCCTTTGCGAAAGCAGACTATGACCAACAAGAAGCATAAGCAATTTTAAGCAACACTTAACAGAAGACCCCTTGAGCTGCGATCCTAAAAACACTAATTATAAGCCGTCGAGCTACTAGATATCAAAACGTCACGCAGAAATCCTAATAATCAAACTGGTCGAAACAAAAGATTGGATGATATATTTAGTGCCATTTGTGAATGTAAGGGCATTACAGGCAGCAAATACATTTAAAAGCTTAAGCTGCAAAGCGGATCCCTTTTGTTGTAGCACATCGAAAATAGGCACCAAAAAGACAGTTATCATCAAGGAGCCTCAGTACCAGTGCTAAGAAGTTAAATGGCAACAAATATGTCATTGTGTTTTCCAATGCATACACGCAATCTAAAATTTCCGAAACTTATTTTGGCGCAGAAATCCCCAAATTTCACCACAAAAAAATCCAATCCCTAAAAGAAAACATTCATACATAAAATTCAATGTTTCGTAATCTTAAGACAGATTCATTTATACGGAAGCTGTAGAAAATGACCACGAGAGAAGAGAAATCAGATATCAACTCCGGCATATCGGAAACAGGGGTTCAACACAACACAAAGGATAGTAACCCCAACAGGTTTCGCGGTTTAAATCAACCAACCAATTTTTTTATAAAAATAAACAACATGAAACAAATTCATATGGTCCATCCCCTTCCAAGCAAACAAAGAAAGGAAACGGAAATGACAAAATCAGAAAGCTCGAAACTTTCAACATTTACGCTCGGCATGAAGATTGACTACAAATACTAGAGATACACGAAACAGGACGAAACTTGGGTATAGAATGAACCTTGTTTATGCTAAGCAGGCATAAACCCTTCAGCCACTGGATATCGAGCGATGCTGCTAGAACCTTGGCACTAGCATTTAAATACAGCGGTCTGTGAAATTAGGGCATTGCAGGGGAACTTCCCGCTCAACCCTAATCAAAAGAAGATCAACCGCGCATAAATCGACGGTGGTGATGAAATGTTTAGTAAAGACAGCAATATAATTTTGTAATTTTAAAAATGGCAAATATCAAGTTCATATTAACTAAAATCACAAATTAATAATAGTATTTATTTAAATCTTTTGCAAGTAATTTGCATTACTTTCATTTGATTGCATTTGAAATAGTCTAAATAATTTTTTTTCTTCTAAAAATCCAACCAAAATTAGAAAAATAGAAAACACTATAAAATAAAAAATTGCACTTAAGCCAACAGAGACTCTAGCCCTATTCCAACCAATATCTAGTACGGTCTAATACCAAACCCATGGTTGATATTATCCGTTTAGGCTCATCACATATCGGTATCAGTTTCATAGTTTTTAAAATGAATGCTTCATGCATCACTTTCCCCTCCAACCAACTTGGATCCGACCAGGTTTAGCAAAAAATCATATAAAAAAAATAATTAGAAGTATTTATTTTTAGTTTGAAAATAGTGGAGATAAAAAGAAATGATCTTTAGAGGATAATCAACTTTTGACATAGCAAATTATGATTAATTTGGGACGCACAAGTTGAATCATTAAATTAAGAACATGAGAGCATAAGATCCAATGACAAAATACACTAATGGATTCTGACAAAGACGTTGGCACAACAAGCAATTTTATTCGATCTTCCATCTTTTTGTTCTCCATCCACTTTCGATTATTCCCGATTCCATCTTGCCCCACCGATTTCCTCTCTAATTCACTCTAAACCATCACTAATTCAATAACCCTTTCTCATTGCTCCCCATCTTCAACCCCAATCTTTCGAGCTTCCGGCTATGAAATTTGGGAAGGAATTCAAGACCCATCTGGAACAGACGCTCCCCGAGTGGAGGGACAAATTCCTCTGTTACAAACCCCTCAAAAAGCTTCTCAAATACTACCCCAATCTCCCCACCGACCATTCGCCTAACTTTCTTCTTCCTCCTTTTCAACACCCCGTTTCCTTCGACCATCCCGCCGATACTACGCCCTTGGAATCCAATCGCGGCCGCTGTGAGACTGGTGCTGGTTCTTTGGCGGAACTTCAGGATTGGTTCGTTAGGATTCTCAATGAAGAGCTTGAGAAGTTGAATGATTTTTACGTTGATAAAGAGGAAGAGTTTGTCATTCGGTTTCAGGTTCTTTTTTTGCTTTTGCTGCTCCTTTTTTTTGTTTGGGGGATTCTTCTTGGATTTCTGTGTTGGTTTTATGAATACATTTATGGAATCTGTGTATCTAATTTGGGTTTACTGTGCTATTACTTTTGTCGCGGGGCATTTGAGCTTTTGAATAATCTTGAGTACTATGGAAGACGGTAATAAAAGCTGTGTCATATGACAATTTGATGAACATTAAGTTAGTGCGTACTGACTGATGATTAAACAAGACACTGGAAGAGGCTGGAAGGGTTTTGTTTGATCTTCAATAAGAGGCAGGTTGAAAAGTTGTATGTCATCAAGGTTTGTCATATGGGAAGGTTTAAAAGTTAGATGTCTCTGAGGCTGGATTGGTTTGGTGGTCATTAGTTTGGGTAGATCCACTTAGGATATTAAGATTGTCAATTGTTGTAGGGTGTCGTATGAGATGTTTCTCTTGAACGCCATAGAGTCTCCCCTAAAGCTATGGAGCCCTTGAACAATGTACACCCTTTGTTCGATATTTAGGTCATTTTTGACTACACGTTCTAAGCTCACAACTTCTTTGTTGACACTTAATGACTCTATTGACATGACTAAGTTAAGGGCATGACTTTGATATCATGTTAAAAATCATGACCCTCTACAATGGTACGATGTTGCCCACTTTGAGCATAAGCTCTCATGACTTTACTTTTGGTTTTCCAAAAAACCTGGAACGATGTTGTTTCTGTTTTCTGATCAAATTTTAATATTTGAAAACCATTTCCGGAAGAAAGATCCTACTGAGATTAGCAAACAAGTTATCTATCCAAGTTTGAAACTATGTTCTTTTGAAGCCAAAATGGTACAGAGTAGCTCTTGATTACATTTTTACTATGCTATATTTCGTGTCTAGATCAGAAAGGTTTCCAGCAGTTGTAGCTGTATAACGATACTCGAGTTCAATTGGCGCAGGAGCTGAAGCAAAGAATTGATCATGTCAAGGAAAAGAGTAGCAGGGGAGGTGTTTTCACATCAGAGAATGAATTCAGTGAAGAAATGATGAACATTCGCAAGGACTTCGTTGCCATTCATGGAGGAATGGTGCTTCTCAAAAACTACAGCTCCCTCAATTTTGCAGGTAAAGCAGTGCATCAATCAATCTATATATCAATATTGCCTTTGGTTCATGTTATAGCTGTGGCACAAGCATTTTTACTGAATTGTTTTCAAATTTGGCTTTAAAGGGCTAATAAAAATTCTCAAGAAGTATGATAAACGAACGGGTGAACTGTTGCGTCTGCCTTACATGCAACTTGTAGTGCGTCAACCTTTCTTTACAACAGAACTTCTCACAAGCCTGGTTCATCAATGTGAGGCAAATCTAGAGCTACTCTTCCCATTGGAAGAAGAAGTTGTTGAATCTACACCGGCCTTGCGAGTTGACCCGAACCCAATACTCGATAACTCGAGAATTGTTACTGCTAAGACGCCTTCAGATCTTGGGGAGGAAAGTGAGGATTTATATAGAAGCATTGTTGCTGCAATGACAGCCATTAGTGGCCTAAAGAAAGAAAGCTCCACCAATAATCCTCTGTCATTTTCGTCTCTCTTTAAGAGTCAGGATGATGAGAGTGCTGGTGCTGTGACTGATGAGAACTCTCCTTCAAACTCTTTGGCTTCTTTGCCTAAAGGTGACGAAGATGATGCCTAGTTTTGTTCTTCTCTCTCTGTGTAACTGAGTTTTCATCGCTTTTTGGTGTCAAGAAGTTCATCTTTCAACTCTGTACAGTCAAGTGTATAGAATTATGTAGAATCTGGTAGCCGAATTAAGTTCTGTTCCATGAATGTGTGAAGAATTGACAAGCTATTTTGTCATCTGATGATGATATGAACTTGAATTATCAAATCAAATCGACCTGAGGTCAGTTCGCCTCTTGAAGTGCCTAGGTGAGCGTCTTCAATCAGGCGCCGCCACAATGCACAATGTCACAATTGCACTCCCTCGAGATGTTCACAAGTGATTGTGCGACACTCACTCTCAACACCGAATGAGTCAGCCAACTCGAAATTGCGTCGCCGACAGCTTGACGATGAATGCTCAAACCTCTGACCCCATTTGGGAAGAACGTTTTTAGAAAACGGGAGTAGAGAGATTTTTGAAAGAGAGTTTGAATGCAAGATTGAAAGAAAGGTTGAAAAGCTATGTTATAGGTTATAAGCGAAAAAGGCAACACAACAGCTTCAATAGCATATGACTCCTGGTAGGAAGAATTGACGACTAATCGCATACCCCTATTTTGAGGCATTTTAGGTCTAGCGTAACATGATTTTGTCGAAACGTTAGACACTTAGAAAATACAGAAAAGGAACTATACGTCATGAAAGCAATAAAGGGATATAATGCAAGGGGTTTGACTTATAACGAGCATGCAACCATAGACAACACGCTTTGGACAAGTATGACCGTGTGTCACACACCCCCAACCTTTTTATACCCACGAAACTAACCTTATGCAAAAGGTTCACATAAACACATGCCATGCAGAGATTCCATTTTAGGTATTATGGCATGTTCTTGACATTTTTCATTGGTGGCATGTTCTTGACATTTTTCATTGGCTCCCTTTGTGTCACCTTGAGGTGGCTTTGAAAACACTGCTCCATTTGTATGGAAGAAATAGTATCTTTATACCTCTTTTTTTTTCTCTTTTTTACAGATTATCATGCTAGATTAACCCTATTCCTCTCTTAATATTATGAGACAACAATTTAGTTTCTACATTTGAACTAAAATACAAAGAAAACCAAGCCAACCCATGTATAAGAATGAAAAAATGAGTCAAGACAGTATCTTTTTGATCTTCATAAGCGGGTTCTCATCACACCATCTCGTCGTAATCGAAAGGAAGTGGAACAGAATCGAATGCCCTGTATTTCCCCACATTGTTTAGGTGCTCATTCTCCAACCTGATCAGTAAAAAATCCAGAAGTCTTTTAATTATCACGAGTAATGCAGAAGCTAGTTGAACTTGATCATGGAGTTCTATAATCAGCCATTTTGTTGCACAAAACTTAGTTCTATAATGTTTAAATACCCCTTTCAAGAGAATATCCATTCCCTGCCTGAAATGATTCAAGGAACAAAGAACATACCTGAAGAAATTCCAGATTCCTCGTCGAATAATCTCCAACACGGCGACGATCGCAATTAAGGCTTGCCTATGGATGAATGGAGCTTCTCTAAAGCCTAATACGGATTGCATCCAAGCAAGTCGTAGCAAGATATTCAGTACCTGCAATCCAGATTCCAAACATAATTATCAGCTAAGATGCATCATAGTTTCCTATCCCAAGCTGATTTTCAAAGAAGAACAGATCCAAAACAACCAGTAGTGTTCTTACAATTGCTGCAAAGTAAACGCTTTTGTTGGATATCACTAGTTTGTCTCTCAACCATGGATTTTTCGAGTTTCGTCGCAGAAGACCCCAATCGCATACTATATCCCAGTATGTGCCTGAAATTGTTGCAATAACAGAACTAACAGCAGCCAAGTTTCTCCAAGTCATCCCCATATTCAAATCATTGCCAGTTCTCATAGCAACTGCAATGACCGTTGAGAAGTACTTCAGTCCATTAAACACATGCATCACATTTTTCTCTTCGATCAAGCGCCGGAGGCACTGCAAGCATTAAACAACCTTAGCCCTGATGATTTGATACCATGGGAACATGGGGAAAATATCTGTTAAACCAGTTGATTACCTGAAGAGTACGGATCCAATATGGAATAATTGCAACAACAAAGTAAAAGGCTTCAAAAACTTTGCTCTCTTTGCATGTATTCGATCTTCGTATAAAGTCACCCCACCCGTAGTAACAGATGTAGAATTCTAAACTTCTGAAGGCTTGCACCTGATGAGATATTGCAACTGAATTAGTCTTGATGTGTTAAGTTTACCAGGAGAATGAACATACAGAAATCTTAAAGAAGGTTAATGTAAAACCTGGCTAGTAAGCTGATCTGCCAAGAAAAAGTCTTCGAGTGTAACCTGAAACAAAATGAAGATTTGAATTCACTTTTTCGTTCAAAAGTAAAAATACATATTTGTGAAACTTCTCTTCCCATGAGTACCTTGTAGAACGGTGTACAGACCAGATGAAATGCACTACGAATTAGGAAGAAGCGGCTGGAACGGAATATGATATCAAAAGGACAAAATATTATAAGAAGAAGAACCTGCAAAATGAGTTCTGCTTAGATATGGGTTTTACTCTTACTACAATGGTAAGATATTGTCTTTTTTGGACTTTCCCTTAAAGTTTTAAAATGCGTTTGCTAGAGAGAGATTTTCACACCCTTATAAGGAATGCTTCGTTCCCCTCTCCAATCGATGTGGGATCTCATAATTGAGAGGTTTCCACACCCTTATAAGGAATGTTTCGTTCCCCTCTCCAACCGATGTGGGATCTCACAATCCACCCTCCTTGGGATCCCAGCATCCTCGCTGGCACTCCGCTCGGTGACTGACTCTAATATCATTTGTAACAGTCCAAGCTCGTTGGCACACTGCCTGGTGACTGACTTTGATACCATTTGTAACAGTCCAAGCCCACCGCTATCAAATATTGTTCTCTTTGGGCTTTAAAACGTGTTTTCTAGGGAGAAGTTTCGACACACTTATAAAGAATGTTTTGTTCTCCTCTCCAACCGACGTGGGATCTCACAACAATAGCATCATGAAGAGAGAAATATTTGAGACACTGCATTATACAATGAACGATGGAGCTTACAGTGAGTAGAGCTAGAGGAATTGACTCGGTTATAGCTTCAAATCTTTTGGTTTTCAGGTCCACCTCCATGTCCAAATGTGAGAGAACACAAGCCAATGTGAGCACAGCAAGACCTGTACTAAGAAAAAAGACCTCCCGGTGACTCAACTCTGTCCCTTGCTTGAAGCCAAACATAAATGAGTAATTGACACGGTAACGCCTCCAAAAGTATATATTTCCAGAGTACATCATCAGGTGCAAGATGATGAATCCAAAAAAGCTGAAAAAGTAAGCATAAATATCAACATCAAAATGGTACTCAAAAAGTAAAATGCCTCAAAACATCAAAGTCGCTATCTAAAATTACCTATACAGAGGAAATATGTTATCCATGTACTGGCTGCGCCCTGTGCTCTCAAAGATATTTCTTAGGTGTATCACTACAATAATGGCCGCTACAAGTGCCATGGCACAGCCGAAGAAAACCCCTGCAGATATTCAAATCAAATTTGAGTGTATAAGACATTGCAAGAAAAACCCTTTTGCTCTAACAAGTGTTATTACCAGAGAAAAACGTAATTCCATGTTTTTCCTTTCTGATTTTTCTTCTCAGAATGTCCATCCCTTTTCTTCGGTTTCCATTTGCAAAGTGCTTAATGAAAACAGCCTCCACTCTTTCTATGAGCCTTGTGACCTGTGGCAGTACAGAAACATTTTGAAGAAGAAATACTTTCAGGTGAGAGTTGGCTAAATATACCACCATGAAATTTCAGGAATTGTAACAGACCTCCAGAGTGCTGCCAAGAGGAGATTTATCCACCATTTCTAAGTAGACCTTCGACGCTCGACGTGACGTTATCTGTATTGACAAAACCCGAGATTCAGAATTACTTGAAGGAAAAAGATAATCCATTTCAAGTAAATAGACTGGAAGCTGTGGAGACCTTACCTTATCATACTTCTTCACGATCTTCGAAACAGCCAAAATGTTTAAGAAGCTGTAGATCCATTAGAAGTAAAGCTGTTAATATTTTGACAAATTCAACAATGAAGAAACATAATCTTCACTATGATAATCAAGACTCGTGTATTGCTATACCTGTAACCCTTTAGAACTTGAAGCTTTTGGTAAAATTCAATCAAGGCCCGAGTCACCAATTCTTCTGACTTCCTCAACTCCGTTTTCTTATATGATAACCCAGCTTTGGAACTCGCAACCATGTATTTCAAGGTTGATACTGGTGTTTCAGGAGCGATATTAACCCTTACATGGGGTAACAAGTCTAATGAAGCTGGCCTGTGTTCTTGAATGGTTTGAGTTGTTCCCCTACTCCCCTTCCTGCTGTAACTGTTGCCCTCTTTTGCTTCCATCTCCTCGTCTACCGTCTCAACTTCCTGAGTTATTTCGAAGCGTGACCGTCCTTCTAAAACACAATCTAGACAGTAAGAAACCAAATCAAATTCACAAAACCATTGCATTTATAACTAAAGATCTCTTTTCCAACTTACCTGTACTTCTTCCATTGATGGAATTAACAGTTGAGGAAGCTGCAGCTCCTGCTAGATCGACAGGTTCATCGACATCATTGGAAGCAACATCTGGTTTCTCCACCTTAATCCTTAGAGCAACCAAAATATCCATCTGTTTGCTCAATTCCTCAGCCTCCACCGTCAGCTCCCCCACATTCTTCTTGTAAAACCTCACCACTTTATTAAACTCAGCATCAAGTTCCCTAAAGAATAGCACCTCATTTCCACCTCCTCGGTCAGATGACATAAAGAACATGCTCTGATAGCTCTCTTCAGAACCATTATGAACTATGTTTGTGATGATTGCATCATCCTGCTTCCTTGGAGAATTCCTCTGCGTTGTAAGCCCACTGAAAGCTCTATACAATGACATCTTTCTCTTTAGCTTTCCTGAGGCATCCGGAGCTTTTGGCTGCCTAGATATGCTTACTTCTTTCAAAATTGCTTTCAGATTATGGTAATCCAAGTACGCTTCCTGCCATTCCGGCACCATTTGGGACAAAAACTCCTTCCCGAACTTCATCTAAGAAGGGTGGCTTTACAGGATGAGTTGCCAATTGGTTATTCGAAATGCATTCCCATACACACATATATATATTCGGTGGGCATTTGACAATTATTTTAGACGTGTCATTCCATTTTTTTCTTAGATCATCTTTAATAAATAAAGGGGTTTACCCTTTGACTTCGTCGGAATCATGAGCGCGCAGAAGCTTCAGTGGCTTTCGTTTTCAGGAAGAAATGGAGAATACTTTTCATATTGGGTTCTCCTCTCCAGATGCGTTCATCCACCGAGTCTCGAACGCCGGCTGCAGAAGAGGAAAAACAGTGAAAAAAGAGTAACTGGGATCGATTTGAGAGGAGGATGTCCCACATTATCACCATGGGAACAACTTGCTTCGCTCCGCGTAGAGATAAGAATCGCTTGACTAGTAGCATCAAGCAGTACATTATGCTGTTCAGCCGCGATTCGTCGATGGCGATGCTTTCCACAAGCAATGTTCCTTCGAAATTATTGCATGTACGTAATCTCACGCCCAATAAATAATAATAATTAGGTCATTTCTTTTTACTTTTTTTCTTTTAGAATTTTGCTTTTAATTCAAAATTTTTAATCTCATTATGATATGATAAACAATACAATAATGTAAAATTTTCTTTATATTATATGTCATGATGAGCATATGCCATAGCTGAGATAGATCTTCGGGATAGTAATTAATATTTTATCTACTTAACCGTATTGAATTAAAATATGGTTTTAGATAAATCACATGATTATTCTTTTATTTATAAATGTTTTTAAAATCTCCCGTCAAAATATAACCGGTAATAAAACAAATTTTAAAAGTAAAAAAAATAATTTTAAAAATTTTGTGAAAATTTTATTATATGTACTGTCATTTAATAACTGTTTTGCCTATTTTTTATAATGCTTTATAAATTTGAAATAGTGTAAAATTATGGGCTAATTGGTGAATGGTTGGTTTAAGAAGCTAAACAAATAATGGGAGTATAGCGTATTATTTATGGTGGTTAATTATGGCGTCAGTATAATTAATAATCATAATACAAGTCTACGTAATCATCAATAATTTATATTTTATTTATTGTATTATAAAAAATATCTTTTTTATAAATATGTTTGTAGAGAATTTAAACGAGTATTTGGCAAGAGTTGTTTAAATAAAAAGAAAAGTCGTAATGAAATTCGAGATATTAACGACCAAAGAAAATTAAAATATGCGACTCGAGAAAAAAAATGAGATACCATTTTGAAAAATATAAGTTGGACGGGCCAAAGTCATACATTATATGGAGAACATTCAGCAAGAAAAAACAAACCATTTTTTTTTTCTTAAAAAAAATAAATAAATAAATAAAATTAGCTTAATGAACTTTTATTTAGTTGAATTTTGTATGAAATGAATAATGTCACGTGCATTTCACCGCATCATGAATCTTGGAATATGGAATATAATCTATAAATTAACATTTTTTTTTTTGTATAATGGATTAAATTATGTTTATTTATTATAAGAAACTTTATGATTATAAGATTATTTCTGTCACGGTAATCGTCTTACTCATAGTCGAGTTCTCATTTTGTTGTTGTCGTCGAATTCGAAAGGTAAAGGCACAGAGTTGAATGCTCTGAACTTCCCCACATTGTTCAGGTGCTCATTCTCCATCCTGATGAACACAAAATCAAGTTTCGTCAGTTGATTTCTTTTTTACTGCGTTGTTCATACAGCTTTACAATCGGACAAACCTGAAGAAATTCCAGATTCCTCGTCGAATGATTTCCAGCACGGCGACAATGGCGATCAAGGCTTGTCTGTGGATAAATGGAGCTTCTCTGAAACCTAATACCGATTGCATCCAAGCGAGTCTCAGCAAGATATTCAGTCCCTGCAACCAAGATTCGGAAGATTGTTATTATCGGCTAAAACATGTCATGGAAAGCTAGGTTTTCAAGAATTTGCGGTATGTTCTTACAATTGCTACATAGTAAACATTTTTGTTGGATATCAATAGTTTGTCTCTCAACCATGGATTTTTCGAGTTTCGTTGGAGAAGTCCCCAATCTTGAACTATGTCCCAATATGTGCCTGAAATTGTTGCAATGCCAGAACTAATTGCCGCTAGAATTCTCCAAATCATCCCCATATTCAAATCATGGCCTGTTCTCATTGCAATTGCAACGATTGTTGAGAAGTATTTCAGTCCATTAAATACATGTTCTACATCTTTCTCTTCCACCAACCGTCGAAGGCACTGTAAGCATTCAACAACTCTATCTCTGATGAGTTCATACAATATTGAGGAAGACATTTGTAGTTTGCTGTGCAAAACACTAGTCAGATTACCTGAAGAGTACGAATCCAGTATGGAATAATTGCAACAACAAAGTAAAAAGCTTCGAAAATTCTGCTCTCGTAGCACTTATTTGATCTTCGTATGAAATCCCCCCACCCATAGTAGCAGACGTAGAATTGTAAACTTCTGAACGCTTGAACCTGATGTGAAATTGTATCTGGTTTAGCTTTGGTGTATGAACTTTGAACGATTTCAGTCATCTGGATGATAGATTTCAAAGTTCTTCCGGAGAATAGAAGATATTGAAGTTTAAAGAGGCTTGGTATCAAACCTGGCTAGTGAGCTGGTCTGCTAAGAAAAAGTCTTGGAGGCTAACCTGAAGACAATATATAGATTTAAGTTACGTGTTTGACAATAGATATACATTTTTGTAAACCTTCTCTTACTCCAAGTACCTTGTATAAAGGAGCACAGACCAAATGAAATGCGCTGCGAACGAGGAAGAAGCGGCTGGGACGAAATAGGATGTCGAAAGGACAGAATATTAAGAAAAGAAGGGCCTGCAGAATGATTGAGTTCAGCCATGGATGATGAAGACAAATATTTGAGACATGAACTTCTTACAATGAGTAGAGCCAAAGGGACTGATTCAGTTATGGCCGCAAAGGTTCGGGTTCTGGGGTCTGCTTCCATGTCCAAATTGGAGAGGATGCAAGCCATTGTGATCACAGCAAGACCTGAACTAAGAAAAAAGACCTCCCAGTAACCCAACTCCGTCCCTTGCTTGAAGCCAAACATAAGGGTGTAGTTTACATGGTAACGCCTCCAAAAGTATAGATTTGCAGAGTATATCAGCATGTGCAGGACAATGAATCCAAAAAGGCTGAAAAAGGGAACATTGGTATCAACAATCGAGCAGCCATGTTCTTTGGAGCTTCAAAGTAAGCTTCTTGAATTACCTATAGAGAGGAAATATGTTATCCATGTACTGCCCACGCCCTTGACTATTGAAGATGTTTCTTAGGTGTATGACTAGAATGATGGCCACTACAAGTGCAAGCGAGCAGCCAAAGAAAAAACCTGCAGATATCCAATTCAAGTTTAAAAGCACAAGACATTAGCTTTGAAGTGTAAAACTTCACATCGGTTAGAGAGAGGAACGAAATATTTCTATAAGGGTGTGGAAACTTCTCACTAACAGACGCGTTTTTAAAAATCGTGAAGCTTACGACAATACGTAACGGGCTAAAGTGGACAATATCTGTCAGCGGTGGGCTTGGGCTGTTACAAATGGTATCGGAGTCAGGCACCGAGCGGTGTGCCAGCGAGACACATTAGTTGGAGAGAGGAACAAAGTATTTCTATAAGGGTGTGGAAACCTCTCCCTAACAGATGCATTTTTAAAAATCGTGATATTGACAACGATACGTAACGGGCCAGAACGGACAATATCTATTAGCGGTAGGCTTGAGCTGTTACATAAAGCAACCCGTCTTCTTACCGGAGAAAAAGGTAATTCCTTGTCTTTCCCTTTTGATTTTTCTTTTCAAAATGTCCATCCCTCTTCTACGGTTTCCATCTGCAAAGTGCTTAATGAAAGCAGCCTCCACCCTTTCTATGAGCCCTATAACCTGTTGTTGTACAGAAGCACTTTGAAAAAAGAAAGGACTTTAAACCACAATTCTGTCTCAGGAATCGTTGCAGACCTCAAGAATGCTGCCAAGAGGAGATTTTTCCACCATTTCGAGGTAGGCCTTTGATGCTCTACGTGATGTAATCTGCAAGGATAAAATCATAATTCTGAAGGAAAAAGATTATGTTCTTCAAATATAAACATTGGTGGCTGTTGAGACCTTGTCATATTTCTTCATGATCTTCGAAACGGCCAGTTTATTCAACAAACTGCAGATTCATAAGGAACAACTCCATTTATATTTCTGCCAATTCAACAGTGAAGAAACATATGTTCAGTATGATATCAATATTCATGCATTACCTGTAGCCTTTTAGAACTCGAAGCTTTTGGTAGAATTCAACGAAGGCACGCTTCATCAGTTCTTCTGCCTTCCTCAACTCTGTCTTATTATAAGACAACTGAGATGTGGAACTCATGACCATGCATTTTAATGTCGATATTGGCGTTTCGGGCTGGACATTAATCCGTACTTGGGACAACAACTCTAACTTGAGTTTTTGAATGGTAGGATGAGCTATTCCTCCACTGGCCTTCCTGCTGTTACTTTTTGCTTCTCTAGTTTCCATCTCAACTTCTTGGGTTACCTCCAAGCTTGACCGTTCTACAAATACGTTCATCTTTGCTATTGGTATTTATCGAACACAAAATCAAAAGTTCAAGAATCTATTCAAAGATGACTTACTCGCAGTTCTGGGAAAAGTGGACTTAGCAGTAGAAGTAGAAGCTGAGGATGTACTACTACCTGTAAGACTGACAGTTTCATTAAAATCTTCAAGAGCAAAATCTGGCTTCTCTACCTTAATCCGCAGCGCAATTAAGATATCTATCTGCTTGCTCAACTCCTCAGCCTCCCCCATCAGCTCCGCCACTTCCTTCTTGTAAAACCCCACCACTTTATTAAACTCATCATCAAGTCTCCTGAAGAACTCCACCTGATGTTCATCGCTTTGATCGGACGATGAAGCGAACAGCATGCTCTGGTAACACTCTTCAGACCCTTCATGAATTATGTTTGTATGTATAGCGTCCTCCTGCTTCTGTTGAGAGCGTCTCGGTCTTGCTAGCCCGCTGAAAGCTCTGTACAGAGAGACCCTTCTCTTCAAGTTGCGCGTTGCCCCGTCGGATGCCTCTGGCTGTCTCGCCCGGCTGACTTCTTTCAACACTGTTTTCAGATGGCTGTAATCCAGGTATGCCTCTTGCCATTCCGGCACCATTTGAGACAAAAATTCCTTCCCGAACTTCATCTTTGCTCTGTGAAATTCTCTGCATTGATGCTTTTGGTTTTGTCAAGGTGGGAAGATTTGGATTTGACATGAGGATGTCCTAGTGATTACTGCGCAAACATCTTGACCTGCACTGATTTGACAGCGTCAACCACGATACTGCTGTTGTTTAAAGAAAAGTTTGTCATTAATTCCTTGCCTGTTCTTTGATCAAATAATATCAAAATTTGCTGTCCACCAAAAACTGGGAAGAGATCCAACTGAAAAATCAACCACAATGGGCCACTGCTTTAAATTCTCCACAACCGGATGATCAGGACTTCACTATTACATGGGAGAATTTTCTTACTTCAAATATCTTTTTAAGTAAGTTGCTTGTTTCAGTATGAAAATTAAGTTCTGAAGTGTGAAATTAAATATTAAAATTGTAGTAATTTTATTTTTCATTTTTTAAGAGATTTTTTTTTTCTTCGCGTATAATCCCATCAACATAAATTTATTAAATAATATTAAAAAGTTCATGGAACTTTAAACATGAATTCAAATTTTATAAATAATTAAATGCTTGAATTTCAATAGATAAATTTTAATTTTAAAAATTTTGTAACTTATTATAAACTTTTTAAACATTCTCATTCATTCCATTTATAAATATTGTTTAATTAAAAAAAAAAGACTTTTATACTTAATTAAATATAATAAGATATATAGTAATAATTTAATTCCTAAATTTTAATATGAATAATTAAAAATTTGGTAACGATTTACTTCATAATATATACATTTTTAATGAGGTTTAATTAAATAGGTAGATTAATGAACTACTGCTTAGTTACTAAATATATGTTTTTTTATGGGTGTGATTGGGATGACGTGTCAGTTCATTCGCTAGAGACGGGTTTGTAAAGAAACTGAACACCGTCGTTCCTAAGCGTTCGCCATTGCCAAATCGCCAGCAGATCTTTGCGTTTCTCTTTGAATTTGATGTTCTCTTCAGATTACGTTCTATCCAGTCTGAACTTTATATTCCAATCACTTAACCTTATTAGAGCTTACAGGTTACCCCTGCCGGAGATCAATCATGCTGAAATGGAGTTTCTTGGTTTCGGTTCTTTTGGGTCTGATGTCCACCGTTGCTGTTTCGATGCGGTTCGAGCTTCAATCGGGCGGCACCAAATGCATTTCGGATGACATTAAAACCAATGCCATGACGGTCGGCAAGTATTCGGTGATTAGTCCCAACGAAGATGTTCCCATTCCCGATTCTAGCAAACTCACTGTCAGGGTATTCATTCTTCCTTTTCCGATTCAATGCTTGATTTCTGTTTCTGTTTACGCTTTTTTATGCATTGCCCTACGTTTATGTTTCATTCTCCCTGTATTATATGGAAACTTGGCTACTTTTATCCAGAAATTATATGGTGGGACTGTCTCATGATCATCTTTATTCTATTTTCTCGCATTTGTGTTTTCAAATCGATATCTCTTTTCCGGAATTCTGTATTTTTGTTGATTATGGAATTTGTTTAGATGATTAATATGTGGTAATGGAGGTTCTTATTAGGTCAGTTCGCCTCATGGCAACACGTATCATAATGCGGATAATGTGGATTCTGGAAATTTCGCGTTCACTGCAGCCGAGTCTGGTGATTATACTGCTTGTTTTTGGGCTCCGGAACAAAAACCCCCAGGTTCAGTTACAGTTGAATTTGATTGGAGGTCCGGTGTTTCTTCTAAGGATTGGTCCAAGGTTGCTAAGAAAGGGCAGATTGAAGTACGTCCTGAAATTTCTCATTTTATTCCTGGCTTGCTCATTTTTTGGTGTTCTTCCTAATTATGCTTTCTGTATGCAAAGATTTGTGACCACATAATGAGCAAAACTTCGTCACAATATCCTTAAAACAACTCATCCTGCATGATATTATGTTATTCCTTGAATAATTTTGTTGGAATTTGATTGGATATACATTCAGTTTGCGGATTTTGAGAACTACACTGGAATGAAAACAATTGTATGACAGGTTTTGTCTCCTTTTGCTTCCTTACAATATCCTTACTTCAAACAATTATGTTTTCTGCAAGAATCTCCTTTTTCTCGTAAAGAACGTACAATTATGGATCAAGCAAAAGGAGGCCTACCTCAAGATAGTGTCAATGATATCATTTCTCTCTTCCACAACCATGTGAAGAACTTGTAAGTTCTTTGGATGTTCAACCTCTAGAGTTTGGCCAAAAAAAATCGGGAACTTTAGAAAGTGAGAGGAGATGATGTGTGAAATGGAAAAAGAAAAAGAAAAAGGGAGAGATTGAGAGAAGAAAATGCTGCAACCAAAACACTAAAGAAATAGAAGATCCAAATCCTTTCATTCTGAAGAGTAGTCTAAGGACCACTCTTTTAGGAATCACAAATCTCCAAAATGTTGTGATATTATCCACTTTGAGCATATGCTCTCATGGCTTGACTTTTGGTTTCCTCAAAAAGCCTCATTCCAATTCCAATGGAGATAGTATTCCTTGCTTATAAACTCATGATCATTCTCCGCTAATTGAAGGTTGGACCATCATTTAAATACCTTTGAAGCTTGAATTGAAGGCGACCCTTCAAGCAAAAAATACCAAGAAGCCATAAAATAGTGTGAAGGAATCCAAAGTCCAGAACTTCTTATCTAGATGATCTTTATTTAGTCTAGATTTTATTAGCTAAATCCTCTTCTAAATTGCATTTGCATCTCATTATTTCTTTGGCGGTATTTCTTAAATCACATTTCATGAACATTATTTATCATCGTGTTTTCTCAATCATGATATGTTAAGAGGTCCATTTATGAGGAGATTCTATTTTGAACTCTACTTTACTTGAATGTAGAGGATGGTCTGTTGTTTTTGTTTGATAGAAGAATCTGTAAGGTGGTGGTCTGATGAAATAGTTCATCATCTCTTATGCTAGATAATGGAATACGAGTTGAAGAAGTTGTACGACACTGTAATCTCTATACATGATGAGATGTTTTACCTCCGTGAAAGGTACACTATAATGAATTTGAGTTTATGTCTAAGTTTCCTTGAAGACATATCAGTTCATTGGCCTTGTTATCTTGGTGGGCTCTGTATTTTGTAGATTCATTACGCCCCCAAGTAGTTGATTTGTGATGATTGATTCTCTGTTATCGTTTGTGTTTATGTTTCTGGGTTTCAGAGAGGAGGAGATGCAGCAACTGAACAGATCAACAAACGCAAAAATGGCCACCTTTAGTATCCTATCACTTGGAGTTTGCTTGTCTGTCGCTGGTTTACAGTTGTGGCATCTCAGGGCATTCTTTGAACGCAAGAAGTTGCTCTGATTTTTTTCCCTCCCATTTAATAAACTCTCTCTCCCTCTCTCTGTTTTCTGATATATATTTTTTAAATTTTCTTTTAGTCTATTTTTCTTTTAATTCTTTTGATTTTTTTTTTTTTTTTTTTTTTTTTTTTTTTTTTTTTTTTTTTTTTTTTTTTTTTTTTTTTTTTTTTTTTTTTTTTTTTT